CCCCCCCTCATCCCCAAAAGTTTCTCAGCGGATTTGGGCTGCAGTACAGCCCCCAACTCAGATTTGAAAAAAAAAAGTGGATGGCTGTTTTCTGACTGGTCGGCAGACCGCCGACCGGTCAGCCCTGCTGGTTGGCTGCAATACGGTCGGCACTCGGGGTAGGCGGTTGGCGGGTATGCAACCCTGGAGTAGGTGATGAAGAAATTTTCCAAGGCTGGGGCGGTGTACTGGAAGTTTAAGGTGGATTATCACTTGAGACTCGTTGAGATTATCATCCTCCCCAGCTAGGGTATAAGGTGGATTATCATCTGTTAGGGGACTCTGCATACTATGAAGGGTTCACATTCCTGATGACCCAGTGAAACTCTGAAGAAGCAGTCCGTCTCAACTTCCCTGTTTCTTGCCCTTTCCTCCTCTTATGCCTTCGGCTCACCAGGCAGTTCTCTGTGGCAATATATGACAATATAGTATATAGTATTATACATATATATCGTCAAACAGAATTGCCCGGTAAACCATAGGCAGAGTGGGAGAAGAGGACAACAAACGAGGGGCTGCGACAGGCTGTTTTGTCGGAGTTCACCGACTCATCGGGAGGCTGAAAGTGATAATTCACCTTAACCCCGGTTGTGGTTAAGCATCAATCAACGACGACCTGACAAGTTGTGACAACTGATGCCTTGAGATGGGCACTAACCACTGCCCTCAGCTTACCTGTGATGAAAATCAAAGCAGGCTATGACTCATATTATAGAGTCATATAGCCACATATCTATCAACCAAAAGAGTGCATTAATGAACAAAAAGACCAGGCAGCATGAGGCGAGCTGAAACAGTTCTTTTGGCCTTTTTCTGTGCAGTTCTTTCTTGTCTTTCTTCTTTTGGCTGGCTATATGTATTTATTTATATCGTCACAGAGAACTGCTCGGTGAACCATAGGGAGAAAGAGAGGGAAGGTCAGGAAACGGGCGGCTTTGACAGACTGTTTTCTCGGACTTCCACTGACTCATCAGGAGGGTGAATCCTCTACAGCTTGCAGAGTCCCGTAACTGACAATACTGTAAGCGATAATCCGCCTTGACCCCAGTTGCGGTTGGGCACCAATCACTGCCCCGCGACTAATACCCTCAGGTGGGCACCAACCACTGCCCATGATGGTAGCTGTGACGAAAACCAAAGCAGATTGTCGCCCACCCACACAAGGCGGAAGACTTCATGGACTGTAGGTTCACACCCCATCATAAGCCAGCAAACCCCACATGAAACAAAGCATGGTCTGTCGCCGCCAGAAAATACGCTTTAGACTCACTGAAGCACAGCATGGCCATGAAGTGACAGCCCTGACCACTGCTCCTCAACCTAACTAGAGAAAACCGTAGCACAGGGCTAGCAAAGTCGTATAGATATAGTCACATAGAACTACCTGGTGTACTATGCACAGAAAGGGAGAAAAGGACAAGAAACGGGGTCCTGTGACAGACTGTTTCATCGAAGTTTCGTCTGCGCATCAGGAGGCTGAACCCTTGCAGTCTGCAGAGCCTCCATACCAACAATGCTCCAAGTGTCGATCCACCTTAACACCAGTTGCGTTTGGGCACCAACGACTGCCCCACAACTTCTCCAATGCAGTGCAATCCATAATAATTTATTAGTTTGACAGCTTGCCCTCTCTCTCTCTCTCTCTCTCTCTCTCTCTCTCTCTCTCTCTCTCTCTCTCTCTCTCTCTCTCTCTCTCTCTCTCTCTCTCTCTCCCCCTTGAAGTGCTCCTGGCACCTATTCAGTTGTGGACCGCTGACAATGATTTCGCCTGCAATAACTTATAATATCAAACCGTGAGGTGTGAGTGGACCTGCAGCTACTACATCCCCCCCATGATGTGGTGAACTTCAAGGCTACCTTCTTCCCCTGACCATAACCTTCCTCCCCCTAAGATAACACCCCATCATCATGAATGCAAACCCTCTTCCAGCTCAAATACAGTCACGACGCTGGGCCATTGTGTTCCTGAGCGTACATTGCATAAGGCCTCTTTTTTTTCCTTTTTTCTTTTTAAGTGCAAAGGCTGGAAACCGGGCCCAGCATCCCTTACAACATGTACCCACTTCACTCTTCCCTTCTTTATGGCCAAGGGACCCGGAGACAGCGGCATTGATTGCTTCTCTGTATCAGGAAGGATGTACCACCCCTCATCCCGGTTACCTCTTCTGCCCCTATCTTACCTGTTCCGTTCTAAGACACTTTTATATAAGCAGGTTGAGACCTTTCACGTAACGTGTGCGCCTACCAACGACTGGCCCGGCCTTGGCATTTCCGGGTCATTTTCTTCCACGAGTTGTCCTAAACTGCCGTACAAGAGCCTTAGGCTTCGAGATATCTCAAGCTGGTTGAACCTGCTTCCTATTCTGTCCCTGTTTTTCTTCTATTCGTTTTCACGAATTTGTCCGATCTGTTCACCTTCCTTGCTTGCACTAGCCAATCTGTATCTAGATCTCGGACTCAGGATCGAATGGGGTCTTCCTCGTCTTGGTGGACCCTAATTTGGTTATGTCTGGAATCCGAGTTATGCCAGCTTTTCCAATGTAGGTGACTCCCCTCGATTGACGCAATCTTGCCTTCAATCAACCAATTCCCCCAGAGCCGCAATTTGATCTGCCTTACTTCATCAGGTCTACTGTCTTCCCCAGAACAGAACGCCCTGTCATTATCGCTGCATCTGGACTGAACGTTGGGCCAAATGCAGCTATAATGACCGGGCGTTCTATTCGGTAGTCAGGATTAGGGCCTTTCTCCTCCTTAGTTTTTCTTATCACTGCTTCAATCAGGTCCTTTTGTCATCCTCCACATTGTCTCTCTGCCGCGGTGTGTGCTGTCCAAAGTGACGTTGCACCTCTCTTTCCAGATGATCCACAACGTTGTCTTTTTCTTTCTTTTTCAAGTTTTTCTTTTCTTTTCTTTCTTTTCTTTCTTTCTTTCTTTCTTTCTTTCTTTTTTTTTTTTTTTTTTTTTTTTTTTTTTTTTTTTTTAAACAGAACCTCTTAGTTCTGGCTCCTACCATTCTGGGGAGCGACAGTCCGGTTCCTATTCCCCCGGCAAGTCAATTTGAAACAGGGCTGGTCCCCGGATGGACCGGGGCCCCCTCCCCCCACCGGGGTCCTCCCGGTTTGACCGGCCGGTGGACTGGGCCGGTTCCCTCCCGGTCGCACCTGTTTGGGCGGGAACCGCGCCGTGGTGCAAACACGTAGCGGGGGAAAATGCATTGTGCGTCCAACCCCTGTTCACCCCTTGCAGACGATGATGCCCCTACGCGTGATGCGCTTTCCCCCGCCCTCGCCACGGCCATCAACCTGCACCAGCCAGCTTCGCCATCAAGCACCCCGCCAGCCATCAACCGCCAGCCAGCCTCACCATCAAGCCCCCCGCAAACAAGCCACGCCAGCGCCCCCTGTGAAGAAGGTTTGTGACCCCCTGTCCTTCTTCTTCTTCTTCTTCTTCTTCTTCTTCTTCTTTCTACTTCTTCTTCTTTGTCGTTCAACTTCTTCGATGTCTTCTCATCTTCATGTCCTTCTTCTTCTTCTCCCTCTCGTCGTCTTCGTCTCTTCTTCGACTCCTGGTCTGCTTCTCTTCTTCTTCTTCTTCGACTTCTTTCACTCTTCTGTTCCCCCCCTCCTCCTCTTCTTTCTCCTCCCTCCTCTCTTCTTCCTCCCCTCGTCCGCTTCGTCTTCTTTGTCCTCTCCCCTCCTTTTCTTCGCCTTCTTCGTCCT